TATTACTCAAAAAATTACTAATATTTAAAAAATCATTAAAATTATAGAATTTCTTAAGTCAAATAATTCTCCTTATGCTGCTGATCTTTCTTATTTCCTTATTACTTCTTTCCCTAATTAACTTTCAGATTTATAAAAGAAAAGATTTGCTTAACTTTCACTTTTAGAATGTTAAAATGTAAACTTAATAAAGAATATAATAAACATAATAAACAGTTAAAACATATAAATTTATTAGGATAAATAATCTTTGAATTTTAATAATAATGCCAATTTTTCAAAAGCGAAACGCATTATTTCATCTTTTGTTCCATTTTAAAATAATTAAGAAAAAATTTAATCCAATTTATAAAATAATTCAATTTTTTCAAAAAAAAATGACTTTAAAAATCCCTCTAAATTAAAAAATAATCTTTAATAATTATATGAAAATCTAAATTCTTAGTTTGGAAATAATATAAAGCCCTTTATTTAAATACTCTAAAAAAGTCATTCTGAAGCATTTTATTTATTGGCAATTTAAATAAAAGAATTTTCAATATAAACTATTGATTAAATATGCTAAATATTATATAAAAATGATTTAATTTAATTTAATTTAGAAATAATTACAAAAAATATATTGAAAGTAATTTTATACAGAGAGTTATAAAATAATTAAATTTTTACAAATGATCATAATATAAATGAATATATATAAAAAATTACATAAAAAAATGAGTTTTTTATCAAATATTACTAAGCATATTTAATTTTAGAAAATTTACAATATTTTAATTTAAAAGAAGATGATTTATATGAATTTTTATTTAATAAAAACTTCAGAAATAATATTGTTACTGACCTTATCGAAAATACGACTTAAGAAATAGATTTTTTTGAAGCTTTTCCTGAAGTTTTTTAATTAGAAGATGGTTTTAATACTTTCTAAATACTCACAAGTTCACTTATTAATGAATTAAATAAAAATAATATTGAAAAAGCTCTAAATTTATTCAATAAAATCTAAAAAAAAAATCCCTAATAATAATAAAACTTTACTTTGAACTTTTGTAAATAAATATTTGATAAAATATAAAAAAAAAAATGATTTCATTTATTTCTTTCTTGGATGAAATTCATTAGAATAGTTTCATTAGTAATTATATATAAAATAAGAATTTGTAGATATTAATTTCATTGAATAAACTTTAAATTGATATTGACTTTTATTTGTATATTGATTTTAAAAATCTTTTTAAAGATACAAAAGAAGATATATAAGAGAAAAATAATATAAATAAAGAAATAAATGAAATATAAAATAATAGTTTTGATGAATAATATAAATTATTTTTTTAGAAATTCAAGAAAATAAATAAAAAAGAACTTTATTATAATTTAGAAGGATATAATGTTTTTATTGTTGCAAAAGCATTCGAAAGTTTTATAAAGAAATCTGAAGATTTGGTTTATTATATTTTTGCAAAAAAACAGCTTTTATAAGGAAATAATGAAAACTTTAAATAGATTATAGATTTAATTTCTTGTCCTTATTTTTTATATTTTAAAATTAGAAAAATTACTTAAAATATAGGCTTAAAAAAAAAATGTTAAAATATTTCTCGTTTTAAGGATTTTTATGAATAATTATTTAATTAATTTAATTTATTACTCAAACAAAACACCTAATTTCATTTTTAATCATCTTTTTTACACCAAATATTAAATGAAAATAAAATTTTAAACGAAGTTTTCCCTTTTAAAATGCAATTTAATTTAAATAATGATAAAGAACCTATTTTAAATTTGAATTCAATTTTTTCTTTTTTTGATTAGTTGAAAGTAGAATAACCTTATGATTCTAATAAATTAACATTTAATAAGATATATAAATAATATGTAATAAATAAATACTCTTAAATTTAAATAAAAAATGAATTTAAGTTTATATTTAATGATCTTTACTAAAAAAATAAATTAATTATAGAGAATAAAATACTTTAATTTTGCCATAATAATTATTCTTAGCACCTAATATTATTAAATAAACTTACTTCTATATTTAATAATATGCCTTATAGTATTTATTAGAAAGCCTTTTATAAATTAATAATATTAAATTTAAACAAATAAATGAATCTTGAATAAAATCTATTACTAATACATATATTAAATGAGGAGAAATAATTTTAAAATATTGATAACAGTAAAAACATTATACTTAATTTAAAACTTTTAACACTATAAAGTTTTTTGAAAATGCAAATTGAATTAAAGATTAAAAAAAATCATATTAATTTTATTGTCTAAGAAAATTTGAAATAAAAAATAAAAAAGATTTTCGTAGAATAAAATTTTATTTCTTTTATAATATAATTAAACTTTTTATTAAATATGGTTGATAATTAAATTTTATACAAAGATTTTATTTATCAAATTATTTAAAATTTAACTTTAAATGAAGTATATGTTTTATTAAATAAGTAATATATTATATTCGATGATGCTTTATTTAATAATTTAGAATTTAATTAAAATAATTAAAACATTATGTTTATATAAATTTATCTTTAGGCTAATCAAAAGCTTTTTTTGAAAAATTTTAATAATAACTTTATATAGTTTTATTAATAAAATAGTTAACTAGCTTTTTTATTAGCAATTTAATATATAGGAATAGGAAAATTTAAAAATAATTAATCAATTTATTCAAATTTGTATGAAAACTTGACCAATTTAGTAGAAAAAAAGGAAGATTATGCACGAAAAAAAGTTTTTTAAGTAATGAAAATGAAGATGATGAATAAGATTTTAATGATAAATTCTATTTCTATAAAGTAAATTTAAAATATTGTATAGAATACGATGCTTTAGAAGAGATAATAATAGAAAATATGTTAGATTTGATCTGTGAAAAAAAATATTATGATTGTGCCAAATTGAATTTTAAGCTTTAAAAATACGAACAAAAATAATTTTCAGTTAATTTCATTTTAGAGAAGCTAAAGAATGATTTTATAGGTTTTTCTTAAAATGTTTTAGTTTCTTAATCATTAAGAGATAAAATTTTAAATTTAAAAGAAGAAATTACAAGAATTTCATGAGATTTTAGTTATTTTATAATTTAAATATTTAATTATTTTTATAGGGAAAAAATATTAAATTTAATTTATTTTTTATCATTTTAAATATCTATTTATCTATTATTGCTTTATTTAACTATTATTTTTATAAAAATATAGTAGTTTTTTGTATAAAATTCTAAATAAATTAATTTTCAATTATAATTAATAAATTAAATTTAAAAAAATAATAAAAAATAGAAATAATTTTATTTTTATAAAATTTGTTAGTATTAAATATATTTTTTAAAAATAATTTTTTGATAATGTTTAATGCAATCAATAATTTAATTATTTAATATAGCCGTAAAATTACACAATTATAAGTAATAAAAAAAATTAGAAATAAATAAAATCCGAATAATATCTTAATTAAATAAAATAAATAATGAAGCAATTTTTATTAAATTTTAATTTAAATTAGTTAATAATGTATTTATTTTTTAAAAACTATAAATATTATAAAAATGAATTAGTTTTCCTTGAAAATTAATTAAGATAAAACATTTTTATTATATGTTTTTTTTTAAAAAATATAAATTGATTATATATGAATATCTAAAAAATATTAATCCTAAAATTGAAAAATAAATATTATTATGATGCCATCAATATTTTTATTTATAATATATTATATTTTATTACTACAATAATATATTATATTATTAGTATATTATTTAGTATCCTATTAATAAATTCAGCTCAGCGCCTCTTTTTTTTCTTATTTAAAATTTTATTATGACAATCTTTATGAAAAAAAAAAAATGGATATGTTCAATTTTTATTTTTAAATTTAATTTTTTTGAATAATTATCTTTTCCCTAAAAATCCACATATTTTTAAGCTTTTTTGGGACGTTTACACACTTTTAAACATAGTATTTGCTATTTTTCTACAGTAAAACTAATTTAATGTGTATGTTATTATTAAGAATATTTATAAGTTTTATAATTAATTCTAAATTTGATTATTGATGATTAAAAAATAATAATTTAGTATAATATAAACTTGTTAACATCCATTAAGTTAAGAAGATAATAATTTACCTTGCGTTTTTGAATTACGAAATTACATGTTTTTTAAGATTTATTTATAAAAAAATTTATGAGCATAACAATTTTGGGTGTTTTAATATATTTTGAATTGTCTTTAATAATTAAAATAAAGTTTGCTAAATTAAAATAACACATATATAATTATTTTTTTAAAAATAAAAAAATGTTATTAGAAATATAAATCTATACAAATTTTTATTATCTATGCATTAAATAGTTATTCAGTATTTCCGAATAATATAGTTTTTACTAGATATTTATTTTATTTTTAGAATTAAAGTTAAATATATTATTTAATATAATAACATTAGTACTTCATTCACTATTAGTTTATTTCTTATAAAAAAAAATGAATATAAAAAAATAAAAAAATTATACTATTATACTTTGCAATTTTTTTTTTTCAGATTGTAAATTATAGTAATTTTAAATTTTCTTTATTTATTATTAACTTTAATGAATATTTATTAACCCTAATTATATTTTTGCTAATTTATTTATTTAATAAGAGTTAGTTTAAAATTATTTTGTACTTATTAAAAACTTTACATACTAATATTTAACTTGTTTAATTTTTTGTTACCTTCTTTGTACATATAATTATATTTTATTTTGATTTAATTCTTCTTTAAGAGTACTTTCTTAGACTTCTAACTATCCGAATCCTTAATCTAAAATACTTTGCGTTAATAACTATGTATTATTTATGATATATTTTTATTTTTTTCCTTTTTCTGTATACAAGGTTTATATAAACAAATTATTTATACTATAAAATTAAAAAAAATTATAAATATGAATTAAATAAAAAAATTATAAGGTATATTATATTTAAAAAAAATCATTTTGAATTATTCATAAAAATAAAATCTCCATTTAAAGTTAATAGAATAATAACATTAGTAGATGGATGATGCTTAATTCCAATAATAAAATTTTCATTAACTTACATAAATCCTTCCATTTTTCCAGATAGCGAATCAAATGTATATAAATATCCTTTATTAGTGATTCCATAAATGAATTATTATTTTTAAGAAATACACCCAGAAACGAATTCATCTTTTTCTTCACATTTAAAAACTCTTATACTTTCAAAGGTATTACCATTAATAATAATAATACGTTCACTTTTATCACAAAGTACAATATTTTTACAATCCAAGAGGAAAATATTCCAAATCTCTACTTCATTAGCAGTCTAATTAATACTTCTAGGTGGAATATACTACTTTTTTTAATATCCAGATTCTTTTTCCCACTAAACAAGAAATCCATCACTTCCTGCAGTGATTATAGAATCATTTTCAAAAAGTAAAAAATCATTAATTTTTCCTTCTTTTTATCTTCTATATTCCATTTTTATAGCTCCGCTTCTTATTCCATACAATTTTAAAGAATTTGAATTATTACAAAGATATAAATCAAATTAATCCAAAGGACTAAATCTTAAAATATTAATTGAATTTGAAAACATTCCTTCTATTTTTCTATAACATTTACCTATTTTTAAATTCCATAGTTTTATAATTCCTTTTTGATCACCTGATGCCAATATTTAAGAGTCAGATGAAAAAGATAATGAATGAACACTATTTTCATGAAACATATATTGTTCTTCTTTTTAGTATTAAAAATCTAAACGTTACTTCATTAATATACTATCCCATAATTCTATAATTCCATCTGCACTTCCTAAAGCTAAAATATCACCTTTTTTATTAAATTCTGCACATTAAATTCTACTTTCTTAACCGAATTTTACTATTTTATCAACTTTATCTATTACCTATTTTTTTTGTCAATAAAAATTTTGATTGTATTTTACTTTATCTTCACTTTATTAAATATTTGGTATATATCCTGTAAATAAATCTATTTGTATTCCGGTTTTTATTTATCCTGTTTATTCTTAGTATTTTAATGCCTCACCTATATTTTAATTTATAATTGTTATTATTTTTTTTTAAAAAAAAAACCTAAATAATATAAAAGTCTTGATGGAGGTGCTTATGCTATTTCTAACTATAATGAATCAGCTACCTTTTATCTTCTTTTTTCTTTTGTAAGACCATCTTAGTATATTTCTTTAATATCTATTGGCGTCTTTCTTGATAAATAATCTAATCTTAAAACCCTTTCTTTATATTCTAAATATAACTTTGTTTATTTTATTGCTTTTTAGACTAATATCTATGCACATTCACTTTCTCCTAACTCTAAAAGCTCGGCTATTATTATTTCATATAATTCTAATAATTTATTGCCAGGTAATTTTAATAACTAGACTTCAAGTAAAACAAAATCCCATTTTCCTTATTTGATATAATTTATAAAAATATCAATTTTAGGAACTATATTTAGGGATGTTTATGTTTCTTCTTAAAGGGTTTTGAATGAATTTGTTAAGTTATTTTCTTTCAAAAATTGTAATATTAATTTAACGACATCTTCTGTTTTGAATTATATAGACATATTTATATTTGTTTTTATTATTTTTTAAAATAGTTATTAATATATTTTAATTATATCTTTTTTTTTTTTTTTTGGAATTTTTTTTTTTTTTATTTAAAAAATTAATTTTAAGTTTGAATGTTTTTAAGAGTTTAAATCATTGTAAAATATTTATAATTTCTTTTAAATTTTATATTTAATTTTTATCTGCTTCCGAATAAGCTTCCTTTTTATTTAATTATTATTAAGCTAATTACAGAGCTGTTTAATCTTTAGGGCCCATTATATTTTTGTTAGCTCCTTTTTATATTAACTATTAAATAAGGTTTTTATTTTAATGAGATAAAGCCATTATTAATGCACTATCATTATTTGGTTTTACAACAATATTTAGATTTTATGGAATATTAATTATTTTTTCCACAAGTTTATATTTTTTATATGCAATACATAAAATTAAAATAGTTGTTTCATAACCAGAGCAATCAAAAACTATATCGGGTCTAAAACCTTCTTCTATTATTTAATAAATTTATTCGTCGTTTTCTTGGAGAACCCATTATGTTATTTTGGAACTGTATTTTTCTATTAATTCTTTTATATTTATTTCTTTTTTTTAAGGTTATTCATTTTTTTATTGAACTTATTTTTTTCTACAACAACATCCCATAAAAAAGAATATTTTTGTTTTATTTTTTTAAGTAAAAAATTAATAATATAAGTTAAAAATAAAAACTATCTTTTTTTTAATTTAAAATAAATAAATCTTAAATTACTTTTTAAATATCTTGGTTATTTTTATTTAAATTAAAAATATAAAAATATGAGCAGAAAAGAGAAAAAATAAGATTAATAAGATAATTAATTTAAACCGTCTGGATAGTTAGCGTAATAAATATAAGATAAATATAAATGTAAAAATAAATAACTACTATTAATAAAATTTAAAAAAATAAAATTAGAATATCAGAATACTATTTAAGGAATTCAATAAATTTAATAATTATCTCATAATTAAAAAGAAGTTGATTAAAAAGAATTTTCTAAAGAAAGGCCTAAATGTAAAATATAAGAACAATGGAAAATATTTTAAAATATATTTAAAAAAGCTTTGGGAGTTCAAGGAAGAGAAAAAAAATAATTTTAAGTAAATCCAAAATTAAAAAAGCAAATAGAATAAGATGACTTGATCAAAATACAATAAAATCCTTAAGATTTATAAATGGAACTCGAGGAAATAAAGGAACAAAAGAAAGGGTTTAAAAAATATATATTTATTATACTAACTAATTTTAAAATCATAAAAAGTAAAAATATGTTTGATTTAGAAAAAGAAGGGGTACAAAGTTAAAAGAATTAATCGAAATAAAATATAGGTTAAAGATACATAAGGAAATAAGACTGTAAAAAATAAAAATTAATTTTTTATACTATAATACAAATAAAAGTACATAACTAAATAGGACTGAAAGAAATAAATACAGAGATAGATTAATCAAAAACTAATGTAAAAAAAATACTTTAAAAATAGTAATTTTTTTTTAAAAATAAAGCCTAATTTAAAATAAATGAATTTACTTCAAATGTAAATGGAAGAAAGCGAGGAATATAAAAAAAGAATAAAACCAGAAAACATGTTTGAACCAACAAAACTTCCATTAATATAAAGCAATATGGAAATAGAAAAATAATAATTAATGGAAAAATTATTATAAGAACAAAGTTTTAATTTAGTATAATTTCCAACTTAGTTTCTTTATAAACTTCCTCAAAATGCTAGAACCAAATTAATTTTAAAAAAATTGGATACTACTAAGCTACATGAAAATAAAGAAATTTTAAATTATAATGTTTAAAAATAATATGATTCAGCAGGAATACCACTTAGATATTTTTATAATAACATAGATAATTTTGCATAAAGGGACCCTAAAAAACATCAAGGATATGCTATGGGTAAGATTGTATTTTATAATGATGGAACATCATAATTTATATGTGGATAGAATGTTTTTGATGTAACTGAAGGTATTTAACATAATTGCAAATAAAATTTCGTTACTATTGATACTAATACATAATTAGGAAGCGATGCTTCAATATACAATTTAAAAGAAATTGATACTAAATTCGTTATAAATCCAAATATTGATGATCTTTATAAAAAATGAAATTTTTGTTTTTTTTAAATATATTTTTTTTAATATTAATTTTAATAAAAATAAATAATTATTTTGTAGATTAAAAAAGAATTAAATTAATATTTTAATACAAAACATATATATATATAATATAAATTTTAAAAAATAATTAATTACAGCCAAACCAATAATACCTGTCAAAATAAATTAATAATTTTTATTAATTTGCATTTTTAATATTTTTAGATATCTTTATAAAATTTTCTATGTTAAACGAAAATATAAATGTATCTTAATAATCTAAACTAATAAAGAAAATAAAAAAAATACATTAAAAACATTTATATACATAGTAAAAATAATTACATGAAAATTTTATATTTTTATTGAAGGTATTTTAAGTTTAACTGTAATTTAAAAACTTAAAAAATTATTATTTAAATATATTAATCAAGCTTAAGCAAATAAAATTGTAAAACCATTTAAAAATGAATGCTAAAAAATATTTAATAATAAAATTATATATTAATATAATATTTATTTTAATAAATAATATTACTGCTAAAGCATAAGATAAAAATCCTTTATAAAATCCCCTTATTCCTTCATCTTAAAAAATAATTTTGATAGCATTAAATATGTTTTTGTATTTAAAAGGAATCATTCCTGGCAAATTACTCTATTATAAAATAAATAATATATAAATTATCAAATTTTATATATTACTTAACACTATATCCTTCTAATAGCAGTATATAAAGGATAACTAGCAATATGACTACATAAAGATGAAATCAAAAACGATTTTTAAGGGTCTTTAGGATCATAAATAGCCCAAGTTAAGCTTAAAATTGCATTTTTAAAAGCATGAGCATGAGCTCCCCTATATAATTCCATGAAGTTATATCTATGATATTTATAAATATCAAAATAATTTTTATATAAAGAGAAATTTTTTAATCTGTTTTATAAAATAAATCGAGATTAAACACTTTATATAGGTTATAAAATAATATCAATAAAAGAAACAGCAAAGAAAGCTAAGAATAAATTAACAAAAATAAAATAAATATTAAAAATAAATTACTATATATTGATTTGTATAATTAACTATCTGTTTTATAATGTTTTTCTATTAAATTCATTGATTAACAGCGCATAGTAGAATTCAAAACATTGTATATAATTCCAGTTAAATTTCCTTTAAAATAACCCTAAATGCCTTAATTTGATATTCCTTGAATTAATTCATTATATCCTGAATATACTGGAGCTCTAAAAAGTTTTATATTACCTAATTATTTTATTATTTTTTATTAAGATTTTTTCCTTTTATTTATTACCATTAGATCCTGATTATATTAAAAGCTCATATCTACGTCTATCTTATATAGATAATAAATTTTAAGGTATTTTTTGAAGAGCTTACAAATCTTAACCAATTTGAGTTGTACTATACAATTACTTATTTGACTTTACTGATAATTATAATGATATATGCATTGTAACGAATGGAGCTGTTAATGTACTTTTTTATTAATTTTTATTTAATTTTTTTGAATATATTATTAAACCTTAAAAAACATTAAGCTAATATTTAATATAACTTTTGTTAAATATCTTTGTAAACTATTTTTTTTTTATTAATTATGACTTTTTTATTTTAAAATACTATTTGATTATGAATTCTTAGACATAGGGTTTACAATAGTCTTTTATTATTATTAATTATCGTAATTAGCATAATTATTTTCATTGGACAAAAAATCATTGAAGTCTTTACTCATTTATATATGTTTTTATTTTAAGATATAAATAGATCTTTCTTATATATTTCTTTTTTTATGAAATTAAAAAAAATTTATATATATTATTTATTAAAAAATAAAATATTTATATATATTAAATGAATAAAATTAATAAAATTTATAATTTTTTTTATTTTGCACTATATATAAATAATTAATTTTAAACATATAAAAAATATATTTGATTTTTCGACATTTTCATAAATAAAATATTAATATTATATATTTATATATAAATGTACTAGTATTTAATAAGACTCATATTTTATTTAGGTTATTTTTAATTTTGATAATAAAATAAATTATTACTGAGCAAAATATAAACTATAAGTATATATAATAATAATTATCTAAATCTATATTAATATAAAATATTTATATTATTAAAATAAGAATTTTAATAAATGAGAAATTGTTATTTAAAGCCGCAATAATATTGACGGTAATGCAATTTTATTTACTAATTATAAATTAAACCTTTAAAAAAGGTAAACTTAAGTACTTTAGAAATGAGTAATAAATCATATTTTACAGTAATTAAAAATAATAAAAAAACGAAAAACAATTAATGTATCATTTATTAATAAATGTATATGGTAAAACTTATAAAATTCACTTTTTTTCTTCTTTAAAATCAATATTTAACCGAAAATTAAATAAAGGGTAAGAAGATAAGTAGAACGATATAAAACAATTAATTTTTAAAAAAAATTATAAAATTAGTGATATATAGTTTTTTTATGCTTTCTATTTATAATATATATGTATGTAAAGAGAAATTAGTAAATCATAAATAGGTGACATATTAAAATTATATATATTTATATATATGTATATATATATAAATATATATATTTATAAAAATATTCTGAATTATATATTTTTTTTATATTCTTTTAGTGATGATTAATTTTTAATATAAATTTGTAATCTATTTATTTTTATTTAAACAAAATCTGTAATTATTTTTTAAATTTAAATTTTAGAATATTTTTATATATAATTAAGTATAAAAAATACAAAGTACAAAAAATAATAAATAAAAAATTAAAAAAAAAAAAAACAACAACATAAAAATAAGTATATAAAATTAATTTAATAAAAATAAACTAAAAGGAATATGAAATAAAATAAACCATAAATAAGAAAAATAGTTTCAACTGATATATTACCTTTAATTTATAATTATCTTATTTAAATTGGGCTGGAGTCTGTTGCTAAAAAACTTTAAAAAAAATCTGGAATTGATTTTGAAAACAATGTATAAAGTATTAAGTATATTATTTTTTAAATTAATAAATTTAAAAAAGGAATGCGCTTTTTCATCAAAAAAACTTTAAAAAATAATAAAATTTTATGTTACAAATCACAAAGAAATGATAAAATAAT